GAAACCCAGGAAAGGCATTTCCTTCCCTTCACACCCACGCCCAGACCGGGAGACGGAAGGCAGGTCGGGCGCCACGGTGATGGCCCAGGAGCCAGGGGGATGCTCCCGGGATTCAGGCTGTCCAGGTCCCTTGGGCACATCGTGCTGCAAAGGGCCATGCTGGGGCCTCACTTGTGGTTCCAGCTAAAGGCAGGGATGGGGTCAGCTTTTGTCAGCTCCAGGTTCCCAGCACAGCACAGGGTGCATGGGTGGGTCTCTGCCATGGTCCCTGCCTAAGCGCACAGGGGTTGCTGGCCCAGCTCCCCTGCACCAGGGCTTGGGGACATCAGCAAGCTGACACCCTGTGTGCCCTTGCTACAGGGTGCTGACGTGGCCTCACTCCTGGGCTCCATGGTGGGGCTCTGTCCTCCATGCAAGGGACAGTGGTGTCCCCAGGGTGGGCAAACAGGACAAGCTCTGCGGTGAGGATGTCACCCGCTGGAACAGGGCTGCTCCAAGCACTGGAGGCACTGGGACAGGGTCAGTGTGAGGACCAAGCTGTATGACAGGCGCTGCTGTCACAGCAGTGGAGAGTTTTGCTGCTGTCCCCATCCCTGTGCCCATGCTGGGCTGGCCCCCACGAGTGGAGTGGGGGCAAGCAATATCCAGGAGTGTAGCCAGGTGATGATCAGCGTGGCACAAATGAGAGGAGCCAGGTGGTTTTGACTCTTCATCTCTGAACTGGTTTACCCACAAGGCAGATGCTGGGGCTGGCACAAGGCAGACACAGGAATGTGCCACAGGACTTTGGGCAGGATCAGGCCCTGCAGCATGGGCACAGGCTGGCGCATGGGGAATGGTGCTGCAGCTGCAGGGGAAGAGAGGGTTGATTGCAGGCACTGCATCCATACAGAGAGCTTGCCCTCCAACATTATCCTTCCTTGTTTTGCTGTCAAACTGATCAACGGAGATTAAACTTCCTTCTCCACGCATGGAGAGCCTCGGAGGGCACAGGGAAGGCGTCCCACGCTCCTTACCTCCCTGCTAGCTCTGCGGGGCAGAAGAAGGGTTTGAAAAGCTGGCGGTGGTCTTGAGGGCATGGTGCAGGCTCTCCTGGGAGCTTTCTCATCCAGGTACCCTTGGGAAAGCCAGTGTGGACACACTGGACAGCCCCAGGGATACGCTCAGCAGGCAGCTGAAGCAAGCCCTGCCAAAGCAGCTACTCGGGGTTGGCCCAAAGGTCACCCATGCTCAGCAACGTCCTCTGCAATGGCCAGCAGTGAAGGGCCAAGAGCAGGCACAGCAGCATCTCCACAGAATGCTACCAGTGCTGTGGGTGGCATGGGATGGAGCTTTCCCCCCCTGGAAATACCTGGTCACTCCTAGAGCCCTGACAAACCCGTGGCACTGGTGGCACCCCTGAGGGAAGTGGTTTCACACCCTTGCCATGCTCCTACCTTGTGTTGAGTGGTCAGTTTAATTCAATACCCCCTGGATCCTGCACAAGCAGAAACCAAAAAGGGGTCACTCCGTTCCCCAGCACTCAAGACTGACGATGCCTTGTCGGCAGCTGGATGCTCTGTTTAATGTGCATGGTCTGATCTCAGTGGCATCCCCACAGCTGGTTTGGTGTACAGTGTGCCAAGACCCGCCCCGAGCTGTGCCTGTCTCCTCTCCCCCTCCTGCTCTCTTCTTAGAGCCTGAAGTTCTAAGAGATTTGGCCAGATTTGGGAACTGTTCACACATTAACAAAGAGCAGCTGGATCAGGGGACAAGTAGTCAGGGACAGAGCACATGGAAGGGCTGGGTGTGGGTGCGGCAGCATGTCTGGTCTCTGTTGGTGCCGAGCACAGCAAGGGCAATGCACTTCTCACTGGGTTCTGGGCAGGTGAGAATAAACCATTCCAGTTTCCTTGCAGTAGTTCTGCATTGAGCAAGACTGCTCGAAAAGCAACCACCACTCATGCTGCAGGGTGTGAGACAAACACCTGCAGCGTCCGGGAAGAAATTCCACCTACCTGTGCAGGGTTGCACAAACAGCCACAGCAAAGCTCTTTTCCTCCTTCCTCCGAAGCCCCAGCTGCCCTCCACCTCAGGCACATTCAGATACTATGGAGATAGACCCTAATGAACTGTAATAACACATAAACACTGGCATCCATCAGTCCGTCACCCTTAAATGGCATGTGTCCTTTCCCTCCCAACCTACACACGCACTCAAGCATGGAAATGAAAACACTTCCGAGCTGAAGGGCTGGCGCATAGGAAGGCGGAGAGCAGGAGCTGCCAGCACAGACCATCCTTGCCCCAGGCCTAGCTCAGCACCAGCTGGGCTTGCTGGGGGTGCTGACACTGCCCGGGGGCCCCCCTGAGCTGCAGGATGTGGGGTTTGGTTCAGCAACAGCTCAGACGCTGCCTGACTTTGCTTTCATAGATTCATAGAATGGTTTGGGTTTGAAAGGACCTTAAGACCATCTAGTTCCAACCCCCCCTGCCATGGGTATGGACACCTCACACTAAACCATGTCGCCCAAGGCTCTGTCCAACCTGGCCTTGAACATTGCCAGGCGTGGAGCATTCACATCTTCCTTGGGCAACCCATTCCAGTGTCTCACCACCCTCACAGTAAAGAACTTCTTCCTTAAATCTAACCTGAACTTCCCCCAAGTATAAAGCCATCATCCCTTTTCCTGTCGCTACAGTCCCTGACGAAGAGTCCCTTCTCCAGCATTTTTGCAGGCCCCCTTCAGATACTGGAAGGCTGCTATGAGTTCTCCACTCACTGCTGTTTCCCAGGAGATGCATCACAACCCATGGGCAGCTACCAGGCACCATCACATCATTTTGCTGCAACAGCCAGTCTGGGGGTCCCAACAGCAGGCAGTGATCCCCACAGCTACTGCAGGTCTCTGGGGCTACTGGGTGCAGGTATTCAGAGCAGGATCCCACTCTGGGGTGCAGGGAGAGGGCTGTGGGTGCAGCAGCGACTGCGATGCTGGGAGGGAGAGCTGCGTAGGGCTCCCCACAGAGGGAGAACCAGCACAGCAACACCAAGTTCTACCAGAAGAGCACTTAAAAAAATAACTTTAATGGTTTAATGTTTTCAGATACACCCATCTGTTTATTCCACAGCAAAGCTGGCACAAAGGCTGGGAGCAGGCACGGCACGTGGCCCTGCTCAGCAGGCAAGCACAGGAAGAGGGGATCAGCGCTGGCATGGCACCGGGTGTAACTCCAGCAGCCTCAGCCCTAACCACACATTTGCCCAAAGCCAAAGCTCAGGCTGAAAGCCTGCTCAGGGGAGCTCAGGGTGCATGGGGCATGCACACAACCGCACAGCAGCATCCCCAGGATGGCAGTGCCCAGAGGCACAGCCCCCAACAGACAGATCAATCAGGTACATTCTCCTATTGAAGCTCCACAGGGAGAAAAGGCACAAACCTTTTGCCTTCATGAATCCCACCACCCTTCCAAAACCCCTTTTCCCCTCAAAATTGTTCCCTAGCTCAGGAGCCTTGTCACTCAAGCACACCATTAGCAAATCTCAACTTACTCATAGGTTTTCCCCGTAAAGCCTGGAGAAAACAGTCAAAAGGAGTTACATGGAGCAAGCTCAGTAGGGAAGCAAAGGCTTTCTAAAACTACCTCAGGTGCCACCGCCCATGGGAATGCTGCATGAATCCCAAACTCAACAGGCAGTGTCACTGACAAGGCAGGGACAGGCAAGTTAAAGTGCATTGTATCACCAGGTCAGAGCAGGAGATGAAGACACTTTAAGAGTAACAGGATTAAAACTGTCAGAAGAAAGGAACTAATCCCACTGACTCTGGGCACACAGTGGGGCTTTTCACATCAGCCACTGCTACAGACCTGTGAGGGAGAAGCTATTTAGGAAGTAATCCTAAAAAATGTCATTTCATTCTCTTGCTTTATGGGATAATCTAATAAAGGTAAACATCCATTAAAAAAACACCCTTGTTGCTTCCCAAAGTAACTCTGAGCACAGTCCTATGGACTGTTTGTTCTCCAAGCGCCGTTTACAGTTTGCCATTAGAGCTCACTGTTGCTTGTGAATTATTTCTGCCTTAACTATTTGGCTCCCTTGGAGCACCTGTAGAGACACTACATAGCTGAAGCAAGTTTGGCGCCCTTTCCAAAGCAGCTTTTTAACATCTTATCCCCGTGGAGACTAGCAAATATTCACACACCCTTTTGCAGGAGGGAGCAATTTTTTCTGGTCTGGCATCCATTGCCAGCAATGGACACAGGGAATTTGGTCAAATCAGTCTGAAAGCAACAAGTGTAGGAATATTGGAAGCACTTGTAAACGCCACTGCAGCGCATTGCCAGGACATCCTGCTTCAGCTCCCTGTGACATCTCCTCCAGACACAGGGTGGAGCAGAGCTGAATCACCGTAGTTTGGGAATTAAGAGTACGTGCAGTTCATGGGATGCCAGCCCTGTTCAGAAGGTACTCTCAAGCAGGCAGTGGCACCCGCAGCCCGTGGGGCACACCTCCTGGGTGCGAAACCACTCCATCATATGGCTGGTGTGGCCCCCATGTCCACATGTCAGGCAGAAATTGGAGGAGCCTCGCACCGCCACGTGACAGATGGCGCACTGGAAGGTGAAGCCCTTGCAGATGGCACACTGGGTACCGCGCACCTCGCTGCGGCAGTGGCTGCAGTACACACCGAACTCTGGCAGCAGGGAACAAACAGAGAGTTAGTGCTGGCAACCGTGCACACAGCCCCCCGTTAAACAGATGAGTCCCCCACACTTGCTGCCCAAGAGATCAGCCTCAAACCTCCTCCAGGGTGGGAGAATGGTATAGAATCATGGAATGGTTTGGGTTGGAAAAGACCTTAAAGCTCATCCAGTTGGAACTCAACCAGTTCCAACTGCCACGGGCAGGGACACCTTCCACTAGACCAGGTTGCTCCAAGCCCTGTCCAAGCTGGCCTTGAACACTGCCAGGGATGGGGCACGCGTATATACTTTAGAGGTTTCAGTCTCGTATCAGTGCCATGGCTGTCAGCCATGGAGGGGCAATGGCAGTGGTCAAAGTCATCAATTTTCATTCCAGTTACTCCCCAGCAGGAGTCCCAGGTGGCAAGGTGAGACAGCCACTGGCTTCTCTGGCATCTCTCACATGCCTCCTCTCCTCCCAGTTTAGATGCACCTTCCCCTAGAGGCCCAGGAAGAAGGCATTTTGGCAGTTGCCCTTGAGCAGCAGTTCTGGGCACCTGCACTGCTGGAAAAATTTTGGAAAGTTCTATTTGCCTATTGGCTGGCTCACCCACAGTTAGAGATCTTCCAATAAGGCACTAGAAGGACACATCAGCCCAGATTCAGAGATTAGAACAGCGCATGCTCTGGGCTGTTCTTCAGAGGGCATAAAGAACGGCCATCAGCATAAACAGCTGAACATCACTAGCATAACAGTGTGTACTTTTCCAGCTTTGCTGGAGAGATATTACCATCTACAAAGCCCTTGAACCAACATCAAGTCCTTGAACCAACATCTGCAAGCCCTCTCTCTACACAGAGCTGAGAAGCAGCCAAACCCATCTGCTAGCAAAGCTAATCTCTGGACAGCATGATGCACACTCTTCATCCCACCTACTGACCCTGTGTTCTTAAGCTCCTGCGGCAGAACCATGACTCTGCCTGGAAGCTGGAGCAGGCTGAAGCAGGCACTCACCAATTCCTTTGTGGGGATCAGGAGGACAAGAGACAAACTTGAGAACCTCAGCCCGCTTCTCTCGCAGGCCCCAGCGGTAAAGGATTTCTCCATAGCACTTCTTAAAGTCATCAAATTGCTGAGTGTTGGCAGGATCCAGGAGCCTAGAGGAATGAATGGGGTTGTCATCCACCCAGTGGTTGCAATCCTCTTCCCAGTGATGCCTATACAACCAGCTAACACTGCTAGGAAAGCAGCAGATTACTTCCCATGTGTTACTGACAACCTGGCTGAACACTTAATGGGTCTGGCCTTCACTTCTACACTCAAGAGTGTGGACTCAACGGGTGCACTGCCCACTGAGGCCCCCACCATGGCCACTTGTAGATGTATCATATGCCATCCAAGCAGAGTTGGTCTGCAGTATGAAGCTTCTCCAAATTACTATCTTGAATGAAAAGGTCCAGGACAGGTGTGGCACTTCACAGCATCAGAGACCTGGCTACAGTGTTCCAGCTGACTTGGGTACAGAGTAACACACCCCTGAGTACCCCTGAGGCACCCTATAACCTACCTTTTGTTCTTCTCATGCTGGTCTTTCTCACGCTCCCGATGATCAGGATACATTAGGTTTCCATAGCGGAAGTCATCCGGAGAAGACTCACACCAGGGAGTGGAGGCCTGCTCTGTGTCTTTGTTTGCTGCAAGCATCAAAAGGTTGTGAGCATACCTCAGAAAGCACAGTGCTCATGAGCAGAACCTCATCAAAACCAGAGTGGGGAAGGACACATGGACGACCACTGCCTTAGAAAACTAAGTGACCCCCTCTAGCTGCCAAGTGCTTCTACACTTGGAATCCTAGACTGGTTTGGGTTGGAAGGGATCTTCAAGTTCCAACCCCCATGGCATGGGCAAGGACAAATTACTCTGCTGGTGACAGGATGGGAACGGATATCATCAGGCAAAGAAATCTAACATGGAGGAATCCCTTTTGCTTTCCACTTTAGACAGCAAGTAACCAGGCATTCAATCCCCTGGAGTTTGCTTGGGAATGTCAACCCTGGCAGAACTGAGCTCCTCTTTCCTAGACAGGGAGGACTCTCATCACCCAAACTCTCATCTCTGCAGTTACGTGAAGGGACCTTTCTATGGGAGGTATTGCCCTGGGGGCAGGGAGAAGACTGCTAATAATGGCTACAAGACATCAACATCTACACTAAGCCCCATTCTCTGCTCTTCCTCATGTCACAGATGCCCTGATACTGTCCTGAAAAGTTAGTTACAGCTTTGGTGCTAACAGGGCTGATGCTGCCCCAGCCCATGTATATCACAAGGAATTAGCCAACAGCTTCAACTCTGACACTGAAGCCCTTAAGAACCATTTGTCTTTTGACACCTTTGCAGCTCAGCAGAAAACCTCCTTAGGCCTGCGGGTATTTCACGGCACCAAGAATATGAGATAACTACAGCCTTCCCAACTGCTGGTGTTTTTCCAGTGACAGGAGAAAACACAGCACTGCTTTTCCTCCCCCTGAACCCCGTGGAATTAGCTCACTGATGACATTGCAAAGCCACTCTTGATAATCGTTGAATGATTGTGGTGTCTGGAAGAAGTGCCTGAGGACTGGACGAAAGCAAATGTCACTGCTGTCTTCAAGAAGGACGACCCAGGGAACTGCAGGGCAGTCAGCACAACCTTGATCCCTGGGAAAGTGATGGAGCAGCTAATCCTGGGAACCATGTCCAGGCACATGTAGGACAAGAAAAATACCAGGAGGACTCGTCATGTATAACAGCCTCAATCGAGACAGTCACCCCAAGTGCTTGCTATAGCCAGACTGGAAGCAAAACAGTACAAACTGGTCTGTCTTCTTACTTGTCTCCAATTGGAAAAGGCAGCAGTGGGAGCTCTTAGCTCTGGGTTAACCTGAGATCCAGAGGCCTAGCTGGGTATGTCTAGCGTGTTTGCAACAGTGCCTCCAAAGCCCAGTGGCACAGCATGTTACAGAAGTCAGAAGTGGCAGGAGCACTGACATGGTTACTGCAAGCCCTGCTCACTTCCAGCCATGGAGTCCCATCATGTTGGCCAAACTCTGGAAATACGCTTTAGCAGAGCACATTTACAATCACAACCTTTCTTCCTCCACTGCAGGAGCCCTCTAAAATGCAGGCCAGAAGGGAGGGAGACACCTCTATATCCTACCCAGGTCTCCATACCTATGCTCCAGCCTCCCGTGCCAAGTCCAGGATCTGACATGCTGGAACAGGAGCCAGAGGAAGTAAAGCTGGGCTGTTGAGAGGGAAAGGAGAGGAAATCATGTCATCTACATAAGCAATGTTCACAGATAGCTGAGACAAATGAGAAAGAACTGGCAATCATACGTATCGGCTGTGGGAGGCCAGGTTGGAGGCACGAGGAGGAAAGGGGCCAGAGTTTAGACACCCCTGCAGCCTAGACTGGGCTTCAAACACGCTGCACAGCATGGCCAGAGTCTGCACATCGTGGAGCTGTGAGTAATGAGCCAGCCTGTGAAATGAGAAGGACAGACACTGTGGGACTGGGCAGAACTCAGTGGCAAAAGCATTCAGACTGCAGGGCAACTAATTCTGAGCTTGCTGCCTAAGCCAATTTGGGACACATTACTGCCCAAAGGAGGCGTGTATGCTCTGCAGGACTGCGTTGTTCTTTCCATTCTGTTATTGAGGAGCCAGTCCTCCTCCTGAGCACACTCACGGGCCAGAGAAAGATGGAAGCTCTGGGAATCCAGCAATACTCATGGCCTGATTATCCCAAGTTCATGCAGCTTCAGGAACAACATCCACAGAACTGATTTTAATGGGATGTAAAGCTGCAGTCATTAAGACTCACTCCCAGCTACAATGTCTTTTTGAGAAAACCTGTGGTGGGGTTTTGCCTTGTGGACCACAGGTTTTCCTGGTGGCTGTGAAGTTTCTGGTTTGCTCTGAAGACTGTGCTCCCCTCCCATCACTACCACACAGCAGGAAAGAGCTAGGTAGTAATAGTAATGCCAAAGTACACCTCACAAATCCTGCGCCTCCAAATAGGGTATACTTATCAATTATTAATTATTCCTCTCCTGAACAGATTCAATGGCAGGAAGACATCTGCAGCTAATACTTGGCTTTGAGACCAGTGGAATGGTTTCCCTAATGTTTACATGGCAACAGTGGATCTGAAGGTGGAAAAAGCAGCTGCAACAACACCCTCATTTAGGTGGGGACCAGAAAACCAAAATCGCCAAATCAGGCATTGTGCAAATGCTGGAAAGCAGAGCTCCAACTGCACCTGGCCTATTGATCAATGTCAGCCAGAGAAGACGTGGGTGCTAGATGGGAGGCCAAATGCTGCCTCCTGTATGTCATAAACACACTTGCAGCTTCCCTTTTCGATGCACTTCAGGCTTGAGAAGTGAATATACATGCTGTGGCACTCCTCCAAATCTGAAATTACACCTTACCATCAGTACATAGTTATGGAGGGCTCTGCTTCAGCATCCATTCCCCCACCCCTCCCCAGCATTCAGGCACCTACAGGGATTCCAGTAATTGACGTCCAAATGGATGTTGTGCCCAAGGTATCTCCAAATCTGGGTCAGACTTTGGTCCAAGACAGAGATCAGTGGCTACCATGGCCAGTGACCAAACCTGGCAGACAGGAAAGAAAAGCATCAAAGCTACAATTAGAAACAACCATACTCCCAGGGCATAGGTGTGTACAAATTCACTCACAGACAGATAATAACGAAGCTTGGTCGTTTTTTTTTTTTACCTAGCAGCAGGGAGCAGTTTCAGCCTTCATGTCACAAATAATATATAGAGTAACACAAACCTGAAGCTTTTCCTGTCCCACTTGCTTTAAGTTTGGGTTAAACCTTGAAGAACAGTCTGTCAGGGTAGCTTAACAGATCTATTACTGTATTTCATATTAACAAACCTCAAAAGGGTTTAGTTTTAGTTTTGAAACTGTTCTTGGGTTCAGACATGTCTGGTGGCTGAAAGTTTACTCTTCATGCAGTGACTCACCAGTATCTTTTGATTAGTTCTGTTACTGAACATCTCAGTTCTCCTGGCGCAGCCCAGTGCAGACAGGAGTACAAGTTTGCCATTTCTGCTCCAATAGTTTAGCTATTTCACATGATATTTCTCTTTATTTTACGTACTCCACTCTGAAAACGGTTCTACCTTTTCAGTCTCTATACTGCTGGTCTAGGACTGTTTTTTCTGTTGTGCCATTTAAATTCAGGCAATTAGAATATTCCAAGGAAAAGCAAAGCTCCTAGTTTGGCATGCAAAAAAGAACAGAAAAAGGACCATTGTTCTGGAAAGACAGCAGAAATCAGAGCCGACAACATGGAAAAGTAAAGAAAACCCACATGCTCCAAAAAGGAAGAACAGCCAGGAGCAGCAGTCCCTGAGCTGCTCACTGGGAAACCAGAAAGAAACAAGAGAGAAGCTAAAACCAAGGACAGGGCACAGAAAGGAAATGGGAAAGATGGCACTTCCTACACTGCTATAGAGCACATCTTACATGTAACCTGCAACTCAAACTTCCCTATCTGCTAGGAATAGGGCAAGCTGCAACACAGGGTGGCGTCATACAGGACAGGGAAAAACAAGCAAGGAACAGGTATCTCGGAGAAAGCTTGCATAAGTTATTCCACCCAAGCTCTGGTCCTATCTGGGCAAATGAGACGGCAAGATGAAGCACTGACAAAGAGGACCTAGACTTACCTCCTCTCTTCTGCTCCAGGAGAACCCACCAAGAAGCAAGACAACAGTTTGAGTTTGCTTCTGCTTAGATGAGGTAAGCCCATGCAAATTACGTGCCCAGGTCTAGGAAGAGCCAAATGCTCAGGAGTAGAGCACAGCTCCTCTGGCACTGCCAGCTCCTGTATCTTCCAGGCACTCCTGTCTCCTGTCTAATGTTCTGCCTGTTGCAATGGACTAATCACATGGAAAAGGATGTGCCACAACAGTCATTCTTCTCCTATTATTAGCTGCAGGCAAGTAGCCAGCCCCATTTTGGGGCTGGGTCCCCAGGTGCAGACTCTCCTGGGGAGAAGCAGGTTGCAGTTAGCACCCAGTGCCAACACAGATGAATACCAAACAACGGGAACCATTATACATAAGCGAGAAGAAAAAAAATCACCCATCAAAATGCTGACAGCAGCTCGGCAACTCTGTGCACAGTTACTCCATTTGCTGACTCAAAAGCAGGCTGCATTCCTCACTTTGCCTGCAGGAATTCCCTGAAAAATGTGCTTCACTCAGTTTGACAAAGGGTATAGAACAATCTGCTTGCAGCCTTGGGAAGGAACCTCTCAATGCTGAGAGCCAGTGAGATAGAGACCACCTCTGTGGCTGTTCCACAGACCTTAGTTCACCAGCTGGAGATTCCCTGGAACAACTGCTCAACCCAGGTGGCTGTTTGGGTACCAAGGTGACAGCACGAGCCATTTGAAGGTAGCACAGCATGCTGAGAAAGAGCTCTGATTCAATGTCATACCTGTACGAGATCCCTCCGTCCCACAGCCAGGGCTGAGGCAGCATTCTTCTGGCAAGTCTCCTGGATATTATTCACATTCAGTCTAAAAAGCAAGGAGAGAGCTAAGTTACCTATAAAGATAAAAGTAAAAAAAAAACCCCATGGTAAACCACACATTACCTATGAAGGTGGAGAGGGAGGGAGGGAGGAAAAGTAGTCCTGACAACAGTGAGTAGTTCAAAACTCCCCGATCAATACAAACCTGCTAGCCATGGCCAGGATCCCATCCCTTCCTTCTCTTATTCAGGGATTGCTGCCATCCTTCTTCCACTGTTCATCTTCACTAACACAATGCACATGAAGTCCAGCTTCCAAACTAGCTGGGATTGATCCTAAGAAGCACCATTTCCAAGGAAATACCAGATCAAACTTGCACCAGAATATCCCTAAACCAAGATTTATTCTTGTCCCTAGGAGATGGTGTCATCAGTTACGTGGTCCTGTGCCCATTCAGCCAATTGGTCTGCTCTGACTGACCTGGACTGAGACAGTAGCATGCTGAGAAGAAGCAGGCTGCTCTTCAGCCTGCTCCCCAGTAGGATAACACACCTACTTGGGAGTCTCTGAGAGGTTGGCAAGGTGGGCTGAGGAAACCCACATGGGCTTTCCTGCTTATCATCAGAATTCTTCCCAAGACATGTGGCACTTATACTGCTTAAGATCTTACAGTAAATGGAAAAAGGTCAGGATGCTCACACATGAGATATCCAGAGTGGAAAGGTCCAACGGGTCTTTTTAAAGAACATTTTTTTAATAATGCAGAAAAAAAAGACAAGGGATATTTTTATTTTCTCTCTCTCCTCATATCCCTCTGCCCCCTCTAAGAAGGGACACCTGCTTCCTTCCCTGAATGTCCATAGATTGGAAATTCTGTGAAGGACCAGGCAGTATTACCAAAGCTAGGGAAGAAAAAAATCAGCAACAGAGATTTTGTAACTATCTGAAATAGAGAGTTTGGAAAAAGAAGCCCCTTGTTCTTAAAAAAAAAACCAAACCAAACCAAACCAAAAACTAAACAACCAAAAATCACAGAACTTCTCCATCCTTTCATTTAAAGCAAAAGAATTGACTGTACAGACACTAGTACGTACAACCAAGTCTCCACGTGAATGGGGCATTCAAAATACTTCTGAAATTAAAAAGCATTATGATCTATTAACAAGATTACAGTATGAAAATGTTCATGTATTAGGACTGTTAAGCCTGTGCATTTAAGTGTGGAATTTAACATGAGGGCTGGAGCACCTCCCTTATGAAGACAGGCTAAGAAAGTTGGGGCTGTTCAGCCCGGAGAAGACTTTGTGGAGACCTCAGAGCAGCCTTCCAGTATCTGAAGGGGGCCTATAAGGATGTTGGGGAGGGACTCTTCGTTAGGGACTGTAGTGGTAGGACAAGGGGTAATGGGTTTAAACTTAAACAGGGGAAGTTTAGATTAGATATAAGGAAGAAGTTCTTTACACTGAGGGTGGTGAGGCACTGGAATAGGTTGCCCAAGGAAGTTATGAGTACTCCAACCCTGGAGGTGTTCAAGGCCAGGTTGGACAGAGCCTTGGGCGACCTAGTTTAGTGTGTGGTGTCCCTGCTCACGGCAGGGGGGTTGGAACTAGATGATCTTAAGGTCCTTTCCAACCCAAACAGTTCTATGATTCGACAAAGAATTTGTACTGATAATTTCTCTCGAGCTGAAAACCTGTAAGATTTGCAATGATGGTGCTGAAGCACCAGTTCAAACTCTGTATACAACACCCCAGCACAAGTTTCTTCCATCACACTTTTCAGATTTATAGGAGACAAGTCCCCTCTCACAGGCAGAGGGATACCATAAAAAATAAGCAAGGTAAGAACAGAGGAAGAAAGTACAGAAGCACTCAAAGATCAGGGCTGACTGATATCAGGAGTAAAGTACAGCCAAAACCAGATGGTTTGATTTGGGAAAGGATGCCAGCCTATACATACTCACATGTAGAGCTCTCCCAGCAGCTTGTGGACAGGCAGCAAGCAGGAAATATCTTGGATAATAACTTTCCCGGCAGCTTTAATGGGTCGGTTGTTGGCATCTGTCCCCTCTCGTTTGCTTTTCCACCTCCTTGATTTCTGCATAACAAATTGCAATGTGTTACTGGGGAGGAGGACAGCAGGCTGCTTGCGCCAGGGAACAAAGCACTAGGGTCAGGAATAATGCAAGCAGCACCCAAACCTGCCTTTCAGAAGGCTCTGTGTTACCCTGGAAAATATCCATGACATGTCTAGGAGAACAAGCATCTCCATCTGTAGAAGTGAAAAATGGGTCAAGGCAGTGAGTTCAAGGCCAAACTCACTCAAAAAGTATTTTGTGAAAGCCAATAAGAGAACAAATTGGCCTCAGGATGCCAATCAAACCTGGGCAGGTTTGGCAGGAGGATTGTTCAATCATCACTCTCATTAGAGGTCTGGTCTGGGAACCCTCTGCACACAGACCACTGCTGACTTCAGCCAGCATCAGCACAGAGATGTGTGGAGGCAGTTTTTCCTTGCCCTTAGCTTCAGGGCAAACTGACAGCTCCAGAGTTTGTTTTGGTCTGTCCTTTCAGAGTTTGAGTAAACCCCTGTTTAGTATCACAGTAGGGGTCCCGCCTCCTGCTTTATCAATAGCTTCAGAAAAACAACTGACAGATGATAAAGCAGGGCCCGAGTTTTCCTAGCTACCATGCTCACAGCTACTTACAGCTGGCTCAGGACATAAGATGGTGGGGAGAAAGGAGAAAACGAATCAACACACGGGAACAAAACCAAGAAGTCAAGATTCCCAGATACTCTCAGACAAAGAGATCACATTAATGCCAAGCTGCATAAAGCTACCTTGGCTGTATGAAACACTGTAGAGTATTCAGCTGGTATCCTGGCCTCTTCCAGCAACTTGTTCTACGAGGGTGAGGAGGAGGAGGGATTAGAGGATGAGCGGCAGCACCACAGGCAGAAGGCACTGGAGCTCTACTGGCTGCTACGCAGCATTCCCCAGAGCAACAACGAAAGCTTTGCAATGCTGCTCCCCTATGGCTTGTTCCCTCACTGACACACAGAGTCGATGCTCCTACATGGAAGTCTCCTGATCATGCTAAGTTATGGAGGGTGTTCTGAGGCACTTGTGGGGCTTCCTACATCCCTATCTGAAGCAGAACAGCTCCTTTAATGGGGCCAGCAAAGCAGCCCTGTGGTGATAGCTCTGCAAGACAACACATCCACGCTCCTAAAGAGCGGGCTGGGCTATAGGAAAGGCAGGACTTGGACTTGCAAGTGGGGTCACCTCTACTATAGATGTCAGGCCAGGTCTGGGATGGCTGGGTACGAACCTACCATCATACACAGTCCTGTGAGAACCTGAGCAGGCTCATCGCAGACACGAAATGCCCTTAAGAAAAAACTCATTAGAGAAAAATACCTCATTAGATCTTAAGAAATTAATTTCTCCTTCACTGCCTGCCTGGCCCAAGCTCAGGCCAATGTGCTGAGGTGGTCTTGCTGTGCTGAGCAAACACGCTACTAGCACATCACAAGAAGCAAAAAGGACATGCTCCTGAAGCCACTCTGGACAATGGGTGACTGAGGTTCAGAGGCTCAAGCACAGGCTTGACAGTAAGTGAAGGAGGCATTTCAGACCTCAGAGAGGTGGAGGTGCATTTTGTCAGGGTTGCCCACATCAGAGCATCACCAGTTCCCCTGATCTTCCACTGCTCCTCAGAGGAAAGAGAAGCAGAGTGTGCATGCTGCCCAATATTCAGGGGTGACAAACTGTGGTGGAAACAGGGCTACCAGTATCCAGTGCTATGGAGAAGCTGGCTAGGCAGCTGACTAGAGTATGATTCTGATCTCTGTCACGTCCCCTCGAGTCCTAATCCATCCAAGCAGAGTTTGCCTGCAGTATTTATCTGCTACATCACTCTGAGAAGTGCTATGCAGTAGAAAGTGCATAGAACGTGGTCAGGTGGAGACCAATCTCTCTGGAATCCATCAGTTCCTAATGAAGGCAGTTTGATTTAACTCTGACCCTCTTCTCATTGGGCAGACTATACCACTTTAGATAACACCTAAAAATGTAGCTACCCTTCCCATGCTGAAGGATGTGGGCTGTATTACAACAAGGTTCCCAAATAACAATGGCACCTGTACTTCGTTCCTTGTCAGGGCAGCCAAATGCTGTCTGCTAGGATAAGCGAGGAGCTGCTGATGCTGCCAAAACCAATACTTGAGCAAAGCTTGGGAACCTCAGCAGGGACATGCAGTGCTCAGTCACTGTCCTGGAGGGGCTATCAGGCTTCTCATAACCAAAGCTGTTGTTTGTGCTGTGTTTGAGCAGGTAGTTGGACCCAGGCTTGAAGATGCAGAAACACATTCTGCAGGTCTATCACCAGAGCTTGGCAGGTAATTTGGAGAGCAACTTGCCACCTTGTGACCATCCATAAGTCAGCTGCCCCCAGGACTTGCAGACCATGGAGAATTCCCTCTGACTGAGGCAGGTTCTCTATCCCGTCCTCGGGAACAGATTCAACCTGCTCCTGCCCTCTGCAAGAGCAGACTGAAGAAGCCTCCCAACAGGCATTTCAAAGGCTAGAAACATGGACAACACATATCACTTTCCACAGGTAATTCAGTCACTTTTTTTTTTGTTGTTGTTGTTTTGAGGAGAATGACAACAAATGAGGATGACAATGGAAAAGAAACCCCATGAATGGTTTCTACTTCCTGCTCTTAGCATATCACCAGACAAATGAAGACACTAGATGTATTAGAATCCCCTGAGAACTTGGACTCACAGCAAAATTGTCCTGTTTTCTTCCTCTAAGCACTGCCTATTTACTGGCAAAAATGGATACCCTAATTCTCTACTGGTGCAACTCCTGGAGTAGAGACAGTTGATGGTCAGTATGTCCTGCCAGCACTACACTGCCACAACCACTACTTCCTGCCCCTGTGACAGAAGAAAATCATAAGGCCAACTGTAAAGTCACATTAAAATGCCTGGTTTTTTGCAATTCAGGTTTGTCTCAGCCACAGTAACAAAATGTTAGAAAAAACTATGAATAGAAGTATGGGAATCATCACCACTGACAGCAGAGCTCTACTCTGAGCCAAATAATTACAGGAGTGGCTCTCCATCAGGCAGTATTTGAGCACTATTAACAGGGGTTACCAGAAGGAAGGAGAGCTCTAGCTTGGGTTTGTCTAGCCAAGGTCCACCACAAGGCTCCTCTTTC